CAAGGGGGTGGGGGGCAGGTGAATGCTGTTGTTCTGACTTTGGCCCTGAGCCTTGAACCCCTCCCCACAGCTTGTCCTCTGTAGCTTCTGCCCCTGCCCTGCGTTCTTCCCCCTCCACTTTACTGTCAGGCACAGCTGGGCTCTGGCTCAGGCTGAAATCCCTCCTAGGCACAGAGCACACAGAAATGCTGTCCCTGCCTTGCCAATCAGCAGCACCAATGCTGCTGCGTGGTGCATGGCCAATGCCCGCAGCAGGGGCCACACTTCCATGTGCTGTACTCCTTGACCAGGGAAGGAACACTGCTCAAACAGCCCTTGAGAGTAATCGGGGAAGGAGGAAGAGGAGAGGAGAAAAGGCAGAGACTGTGGGGAGCAAGGGGGAATGTAGGTGGTGGTGGGTAGGACAATAGACAGGAAGGTTGCAGGGGGAAGAAGTGGAGGGGACAGAGGGTAAGGGGGTCACTTGACCCCCCCCACTCCCTAGCCACTGCTTTCCCTGCTGTACCAGCAGGGGGCGTGGAGGCGGGGGGGAGGGAGGGAAGATGAATTTAAGACAACCCTCCTATAATTAGATTATATACCTGGAAAATTATAATAAATTTATAATTTTCCTTTATATATAGAACCTAATTATTGCGGGGTTGTCAAATTCTGATTCAGTTAAATATGGTAGTTGATAGAAGTGCTGCCCAGCCTCAACTTGCTGCAAATTGACTCGATTCAGACACAACCGATGACCTTCTAAGTCTATATTCCTTGGGGATCCTCTCAAGAAAGTCTACTGTAGTTGTAGCATCGGACTCTTCATCAACACCATCAGTCATCCAAGGCAACAGCAATGATGACAAAAGAGAGGAGAAAGCACAGGGAACGGAAATTCTTGTTCTGACCACTTTAGGTCCAGCAACAGACATTGGAAGGGAATCATGACTCCCATTACACAACAGATCCTGAAATGATCTATTTTGGTGACAGCCCTTTTCCCTCCATCTAGCTGAAAGAAGCGTACAATTTTAAAGACTCCCATTTCAATAGAAAGACTCTTTCAGCCAACTGCTAGAAGGGAAGGCAGGATAACAACAAAGAGTTTGCATGTAGTACATTTACCCATTTGCACTCCAAAGGCTAGGTATAGACAGTCAAAAAGCCCAAGGCTGAATCAACTGAATCTTGGCAGGTTAGTTTAAGCCACAAAGACTGAACTGATAAGCAAGTGCACAGACATTCATACCGATTCAGAAATGCAGCCACATGCCTGCAATGACCCAGGGCAGAAACCGAGGGGGTGCTAGGGCTGGAGCAGACAGCTTGGGACAAGGCTAGCCAACCCACCCTGCGAGGGCATGTTTGCGAGGGAGGAGCAAAGTATTCTGGGATGCTGGGGACAGAGTTATTTGAATCTGGAGGGGATCTGGGACAGAATTTCAATAAACCAATTTAAACTAAATCAGTTAAGTCTGATACTACATCCATCCAGGTTTATCTTAAACCAGTTTCAGCAATTTTGAAAGCAATTTATATGCACTGAACTTACGTGTTACAGATCTGAACTGGTTTCCGATCGCTTATACCGGTTTGCGTGTAACTTCTGTCCCTAGCCCAGCACAGCTATCTTTAGCAAGTTCTTTCAGACACTAAGTAAACTGATTAATAGACAGAGGTAGTGCTCATTAATGTTCTAGACAAGTGGTTTTCAACCTTTTTTCATCTGTGGACCTTAAAAAGTGTTGAATGGAGGCGCAGACCCCTTTGGAAATTTCAAATGGAGGTGCAGACCCCTTAGAATTATAAATGTGGGTATTCACATACTTTTGATTGATTGTAGTCACCTTTTGCAGACCCTTTAGACATAGTCTGTTGACTCGCAGAGGTCTGCAGACCACAGGCTGAAAACCAGTGCTCTATACCCATGATACCCAACTGGGGTGCCATGGTGCCCAGCCCCTGCAAAAAGAGGTAAGCACCGGCTCCTCCACACACTGGGCACTCTGCACCCACCCCAGTGTCTCAGCATCATCCCCACCACTCTGGGAGCGTGGAAAGAGCAAGGGAACTAGCCAGACTGAGAAGCACAGCCCCTTCCCCCTGTGCTGACCACCCCTGTGTTCCAAGCAGTACAATCTGCTGCAGACAGATGCAGGGCCATACTTTTTCAGCCTAGCTCATTGCCCCATTCCTCCCATGCTCCTGGAACAAGTGGGAGGGGAGTGGGGAACAACAGTTCCAGCCACTGGCATTCAAGTCTCCAGGGAAGCAGCAGTAAGAGCTATGCTCACTAAACCCCATCCCCAGGTATAGACTAGGGATGAAGGGAGCAGGCAGCAGGAAGAGCAGGGTACAGCAGTTCTATCCTTACTGTCTTCACTTGGCACCAGTCTTTGCACCAGTGGCCATTGTCACCCATTTCTGCTTCCTGAAGGGATCTAATGCCTCACTCCCAAGCTCCCCAATCTGTCCTACCTAGCAATCCCTACCAGCACTGAGACCCATGCACCACCCCCTGCCAAGCTCTCAGGGGTGTCCTGCTGCCCTGTGAGATACGTCTAAGGGCGTCACAGGGTACAAGAAGGTAAGCACTACAGAAGATATATCAGCAGCGTAAATGGAACTACTGCAGAACGTGAAGGGGGGGGCAGAAGCACATTCATTTTACCCTCTGCATCTGAAACGCCTTTTGGGCTTTCTCATCTCCAAACATCTTTTGAGTGTTTGGGGGAAGCTTCTTTAAAAAAAAAAAAAAATCTTAGAAATTTACATCCTGTCTACCCATTTTTATCCTAAATGACTAATGTGGGATTAAAGTACTAGCAAGCAAGTCACCAATATCAAGGACAAGAAACCTACTTGAATGAGAACATGATTTTTAGTCAGGCTGTGTAAGCAAATGAATAGAAGAGGTATAAACAAAAAGCAGAGGTTTAAACAACTGGAAGATTTTTGCTAAAACTCAAACCCTTGCACTAAAGGTCTGAGAATGCTTTTCATTCATGTTTGGGGGGTGCCCCAAAGACTAAACTTGATCATGCTGGAATTAAATTTTAGGACTTTGCTTTAGGTGTAGTAAGAGAGGAAGGGGCAAGAAAGATCACAAACCAACACCCACACTGTTCTTGTGACTAGTGATGGTTTCTCAGTGAAAAGGGGAAGAAACGATTTCCCAGATAAGTCCAAGTTTGGTTATGCACAGAGACTGAAGGCATCTAATAACACCCACTTGAAAGCCCTACAAATAGAACCTTAAAATATATTTAAAGTTAATCAGCATATAGTGTAAAGACAGACGCTGGTTAGCTATGTTTATCTGGGAAACAGATCCTCATAGTCCCACTCCGCATCAGACTTAAAATGACAACTGCCTACTTGTTTAGTTGTACAACCTGCTCATCGCAGAACCATAAGCCTGTGTTTGTCTCTTACCTCTTGATGGGAGATGCCTGGAGCTCCTGAATACATAGTCTTCAGCGTTGCATACCCTCCCTAATCTAAGAGCTTAGCCATATTCTCAAAGGCAGCTTCTCTATATGTAGCCTTTCCTGCCACCTATTTTCCTTGGTTTTATGGAAGGCACTGTGCACAAAATCCAAGGAATCCATCTTGGGAATTATCTGGAAATAATGAAGCCTATCATGATGCACACCATGAAGAGAACAAGTTGTTAAATCATAACCTGCCCTAGGTAAGATTAACTTTTTCTCCAACAACTACCCAAATACTCTAGAACTACTTTGCATGCTGAGCACAGCACATGCCCAGAAGAGGCAACACGTCAGTTTGACCCAACTCGCCCAACATCTGTAGAGATCATGCGCTTCAGTGGGGCTTTTTGGTGTTTTTTATCTAATAAGCTATTCAATTGAATCAGGTATTAGATAAAAGTGCCAAAAAGCCCTGCTGAAGCTCATGATCTATACAGATGTTGGGCAAGCCAAGTCAAACTGATGCATTTTCTTTTTCCGTAAAGAACTGGGTGTCGTGTCCCCCCCGCCATCTGCCAGTGGCCTATGTCTAGATAAAGGGGAGCTGGAAGGTCCACACTTGTTTTGATACTACTATGTATTATGGAAAAGGAGGCAAAACCTAGCCTACATACAGGGGTCTCTCAGTATGGTAAACATAGGGAAACATTGCTTCTTAGAAACACCAGCCACATTTCTCCCTTAATTCTGTAACTCTCATCATCAAGGCTTGTGTGCGCTAGAAACATCTCAAAACCTGTTCCCCAAGTGAACTAGTTGCTGCTGTGAATAATCCTATTTAAACACCTGGAATTCCATGTATTCTCCACAGTGTCATTATCCTTAAGAAAACCTTCCCCCTCCACAAGATACAAGAAGGTATGCAAGACCACTTATATATCCCAGTAGCATTTTATTTTTCATGTGTTGTTTTCCTATCAATAAAACTGGTTGTCAAAGTTTAGGAAATCTAATACATTTTATATTTCCTGACTATGTTAATATGATGACAATAGACAAAAATCCCAGCCTTGCTAAGAAAACAAGACCAGGGAGCAAAATGCTTCACTCTTCTGAAAGAGTAAACAATAAGGACTCTAAATGACTATTAAAGCATTTTTGGCAGCAGCCTTTCCAATCAGGTGTTACATGTTAAATTAAAGTCCTCCCCACCTATTGAATTGCATATGCTATTCCAGATATGGTGCGTTTGTATTTTACAAAGCTATTTTTTGCCAAAGTTCTAGAAGCTAGTTATTAAGAGGTTACCCAAAAAGAAAAATCTTGGTTACGAAAGACTCTGCAGTATTGAATGTTTTACAATCTGGCCAACAGAGCATCTGCCATCTCTGATGATAGCAAACATTGTGTCTATGCTGTGCTCTGTTTTCACAGTACTATATAGTTCAAGGGAGAAGAAAAACAGAAGCCCCTTACCTATGACACAAAAAAACCCTGGCCTTGCATTAATGTCAATAGGCCTTATAGGTGATCAGTGCTTTTCAGGATAGACCCCTACAGGATTGAACAAATACTATCGGTTACCTTTTGATCTTCTGTGAATTCTGAATTATTGTGTTGAGACTGGGCCTCTTTCTGTAGATGTCGTGCTAATCTGGATGAGGGAAAAGAAAAAAAGGAAAGTATTTTGGTAAACTAGAAACAACACAAAATCCCACCGCGCAGCATGCAGACACCAATGCCAGCTGGAAACCGCTTACATAGCTCAAGTGCTATGTATTATCATATTCCAAAATGATAGCATCTCTGTATCACACCATAAAACCCCCTTAATGCGGAAATAATAGTAGTCACACTGTTACCCTAAAGATGGTGAACTTCCTGAAAGGTTACATGCAAAGAAGATTGCATCTTTCCAAAGTAGAGACAAGAGAGCTGAAAACAAGTCTCTAAAAACATTTTCTAAATATTTTTCTTCAGAAATCCAGGTCTTTTTACATTGGAGGATGTTTTAATGTTGGTAATTCTCCAGTCATCGCAAGAATCAAAATAATGATTTTAATCTAACTTTATTAAATACACACTGAACTTCAAACAAACAGATTCTGGAGAAAAAGAGATCTCTACGAGATTGAACACAGCCACTCCGTCAGTTAAAGGGAAGATTACTGGGACACCAGATCTTCCAGCAAAATTTGACTCTCCAGTATAATTTTTTTAAAGAAAACTTTGCCCCTTCATGAAATACAAAATGGCGCACAATAGTTTTCACATGTACCAAAAAACCCCACATCTTTCAGGCCTCACCTGAGGAGACTAAAAAAAATAAGAATGAGCTCAGTGTCAAAGTTATTTTACCCATGCCACTGTTTAAGGGACTAACAAAAGATGTAAGGCAGTGGTTCTCAACCTTTGGTACCTTACGTACCACCTGCTAATCAATGCAGCAAAAGTGAAAACGGAAGTCCCACTGTGGCACTTCCAGTTTTGCTGCCGAGAGCAGAGTCCCACTTTTTTCCTTGTGGACCTGGCTTGGGGCAAAGCAGCCTGTGTCAAAGCCCTGGTGTAATGGACACGGCGGGAGGGACGGCAGCTGGAACTTCCAGCCTGAACAGGCAAAGATGTCTCCAACCCGCCACGCAGGAGGGCGGGCCAAACTCAAAACACGGCACCTGTGTCCCCCCTGCCCGTGTCTCACGTACCCCTAGGGGTACGTGTACCACAGGTTGAGAAACACTGATGTAAGGGACATCTTCTCATGTAGAAAAGACATATTTGGGGTTATTCCCGAAAGGACTCAAGAGTGGATGTCTAGTAAAAACACAGTCTCAGAATACAGCTTTGCTCTTGACCACCAGTGATCTGTCCAAGGTGTCACAGTGAAATCACTTAGCCTCCTGCACCTCAGTTTCCCCCATTTTCGCAGCTTTTACTGTTGCTTAAACATCAGGTAATACAACAGGTTTAAAACAAGCTTCAAGCAAAAACAACAGACCAGGGACAGGGACAAGCGCATGTGCCAGGTCCCACAACTGCGCTCTGGGAGGCAAACCTCAGCATCTACAAACATAAACGGGCATGCTTGGCGGAGGCTAGCATAATGGGCAGGGATGAACTGGACACTACGAGACGGCTGCTGTTAGATGACTTGACTTGTACAAGATGTTACTCAAACTTTTCTGTGCTTCATCCTTCATTCTCAGATGGGGAAAACTATTCTTTAGCATTGCTTAAAACACTCTGAACTACATCTGAAAAAGTTACTGAATGAATGGACAATAAGCATTTATTTGGCTCATCACAGTTTATTGAACCTTTATTGGTTTAAATGCACATTTTCTTTACTAAACTATTATAGTAGAGCTTAAAAGCTGATGGTTTACTGCCAACTAGCGGGTGGCATTAAGAGGGCTAATCAAAATACCACGGAAGGTAGAGTTAGCCAAGCAAGGAAAAGAACACCAGGGATCCTGGTTTTCTCCAATTTAAAAAAAATCCCCAATTCTCAGTTAAAAAACGGTAACCCCCAAATCCACATTTTTCTGGGACTGAAATGAAACACCACTAATATAGATATAGAGGTGTTTCATTTTAACTCACAAAAAGGTGGATTTGGGGTTACTTTTTTTCAACTGAAAATTGGGGATTTTTTAAAGTCAGAGAAAACCAGAATTCCTGCTTGTAAGAGATGTTTCAGGGAATCTCAGGTTTAGCCTTGACAAACTAGGCAATCCATCTTGGGCTTGTTCATACTTTGATTTCTGCTGTACTCAAATCAAAAACATACCAACCAAATGCCTCTCACTTCCCAAATACTTTAACCATACCTACACTAAGTCTAACTTACACATGTAACTAAGTCTAAGTAGCTAAAGTTACTGTATTGTACTTACAGTGAGAAACTAAGGCTAGATTTTAATTCCTTACCATCTCCTTATCACCCAAACAATTAGACACTTTGTTCTACAGACAAGAAAACAAGTCAAAATACTACACACAAAAAACAACCTAGTTAGAGACAATACAATACAGTTAAGATACAATACTAAAAAAGAAAGCGGAAAAAAACAGTTACATGATAGAAAGCATCTCTTTTTAAATGGTAACATTAAATAAGGAATGGCTTAACCCGATTTTCCCATTCCTATTTTGAGAATGTCTGTGAAATGCTACACACCCTGATCAGCTGCAGAAGTAAGAAATAATGCAATGCTCAGATGCCATACTTCAGTACTTGGCAATGGCAGCTGCATTCTGAAAGAAAAAACTAGGCATTTTTTGGTTTGTAGGATATCAACATCATGCCCAGGCATCAGACTGACAGCACAGAAGACCTGTGCTCACATAACATGTAAAGAGGCGGACTTTCCCAAGCTCCTCCAACTCCAAAAGAACTGCTTCCTGGAGTTGAGAAGGCAGTCCCATCTATATGGCACAGCAAAAACTGGAATGTCTTTCATTAGGCTGCTAATATGAACTTTATCACAGCCAACATTTTTCAGTCTTGATAGTAAGCCAAGGGTAAAGTCCTAAATCCCATTACCGATCATCTACTTTAGTCAGTGCTCCCTCAGCCCCCAGATTTTCCTTCAAATCAGAGGGAACAGTGCTGTTTTTCCTTTCCTTGGAAGAAATTAGAGGGAAACTTGACATGCCAGGGCTAAGGAAGTATCTGGCCAACCACCTGAAAATTCTCCTTTACAAATCTGAATAGTTCATGTTTCTCCAAGAACAACACCAACAAAAATTCAGAACCAGCTCATTTAACTACTTTTTAGTAAGCATTTGGTCAATTACTCCAGGATTGAAAAACAGCACATAGCAATTCTAAGCATCTCATCACTAGGGAGATACCAGTACTGTCAAAGCAGAGAAAAGATAGAAGGGAGAACAGGAACACTGAAGGGACTGATCTACTAGCAGTGATTAAGGATTTAGCTTGTCAAGGGGCTTTGCAATACTTGCAAGGTACCTGGTGTGTCAACATGTAATGAATTGACTAGAACTAGGCAGTTCTTAGAGCTTGATTCTGAGAACATTGCTAAGGAAAAAAGTGTGTGGAATAAAGAAACCCACAACTTATAAGGAGAATAAGTGGGCAGAGTACTGCAACATTCTGCTAAGTCTACCTTTTCGCCCTCCAAAAGAAATATTAATAACAGAAAAGTGATTACACTTGATTTATAAGTGGGATCAACCTATAATCAGGTTTCCCATAGTCTTGATTTGCTGCAATATTTTTGTACATGCAATAAAAATACCAAGGCAGAATTCCTTTTTCTAGTAGGTTTTACTTTAGTACTTTCAGTACATTTAACCCTTGGTTATTTTATTCTCTGGTGGAATTCTGCAAGATCAATCAATAGCTGTAAAGATCTTTATAGTTTAGTTATCAACACATTCAGGGAAACAGTTACTTTCCCTTAAATTTAACCTCAAAATATAGCATCAGCTTATAATCAGAACAATGTGGTATTTATTTATGGTAGCATGATGGGGTAATTAGAAGTAATGGGATGAAACCAACTACTAACAGGAGAGACAAGATTTCTACAAGTGAGAGCTCTTTCCATGTGGAATTCTGTCAGAGTATTTGAAAACAGTCTCTAGGAAATAGATCAGGGGAGGGCAAAATACGGCCTACGGGCAACATGCAGCCCGCCGGGCACTTCTCACCCACGGGTGCCGCCAATTACTTGTGCCCCACCCAGCCCTTCCACCCACTAGGATGAGGAGCTGCAATTGGGCAGGGAACGAGGGGCTGAGACTGGTGGCAGCACAGAGCTTCTGCCCCAGTGCCACGAGCACAGGAACTGCACATGCGTGGTGCACAGTCTCCATGATAGAGGCGTGTGCAGCGCTGGCCAAAGCTGGGGGCTATGCGCCATAGGAGGAAGGGTGTGGGGGGTCCATACCCCCTCCCCACAGTCCCTCACACCCCACAAAAGCCACACATCCACACCCTGCCCCCACAACTCCCCAAATATACAAGCCCCCACCAACATCCTCCCACCCCCCCACACACAATATAAAAGAGTAAGACTTTATTTTTGAGTTATTATTCAATCATCTCTGTATACACTATGCAAAAACAAATCATGACAAAAATTAGGGGTCCACCCATAAAGATTTTTTGGGCCAATACCGATGGCCGATTATCAATGAGCCATATCAACTGATACCGATCCAATTGTCAATATGCAGCGTGGCAGCTTGAAGAGCAGCATCCAGATGATAAGACTGTTGGGGGCAAGGGTTATGGGGAGGGAAGGGGTGTGGGCGGGGGGGGCAGACTGAGGACCCCGCAGTGAGGGAGAGAGTGAGGCTGGGGCAGGCACTGCCCAGCCAGGGTGGGGCAGCCGTGGGACAGAGCCATGAGGGGGCTCCTGCCACTCTGCGCATCCCCGGAGAAGGCATGGGGCAGTACATGCCCCCTGGATCTGTGCGCAGGGCAAGGGTGGGCTGCCACCGTGCGGTGTGGCTCTTCCCAGCAGGGGTGGGGGTTGGTCTGGGGCTGTGCTCGAGGCAAGCAGTGGTGGTGCTGGGACAGGGGCAACGGGGGGTGGCTACAGCAAGTTCTAGGATAGCTGTAGCCCATCACACAGCACCCCCTCCCATTACTGCCACCCACCCTGAGCACAGCCCCAGCCCAAC